CCTGGAACTAGCTCTTGTAGACTAGGCTGGTCTCAAACTCACAGAGATTCACTTGTCTCTGCCTCCCTAGTGCTGGGATTAAAGGAGTGTGCCACCACCACCCAGCCCTTGGCACCCTTTCTTGAAGCTCTAGGCACCATCACTTACAAACTGGATCCTGATACTGTCTCCTGCGTTCATAGGTGGCCACCAGAAGGTGTGTATTGGCTTTGAGGACTTTATTCCTGTACAGTCATAGCCGACTCTCATGCCAGAGACACAGCAGTTAATACCCATGCTTGTGCCTAGGGCTGCACATGCCCTAACCACTCCCAAAAATGTCACTAAGACTTGACAGGGAAGTTCAGGGTAGAAGACTGCCCACTTACTCATCCAGTCCCTCATTCAACAATGCACTGGTTTGGGAGAAAGAGCGTCACACAGTGATAGAAGGAGACAGTACCCAAGATGGGGAATACATTCCCCATTCAGTTATCACCCCAGCTAGCTCACAGTCAGGCAGAAAATGGACAGCCAGCAGGTGACCTGAGGAAGGGCTCCTGCCACAAAATCTGCCTTTCTCAGGAAGAGCCTGCATATCCTCTGCCACACAAATATTTTCACTCCCAAGGCATCTGTTGGAAACTGCTCTTGAGTCCTGGTTCTCCCACTCACAAATCACTAAAGCTGGACCCAGGTTTCCTGTGTGAAACAAAGACTCCAGCACAGTGTCGAGGTGTAAACTGTGTCACCAGGGGACACTCAGGACAAGCTCATCCATTCCACGGATGTTAGTCTGTTCCCATTTTTGTTCCTTCATCTGTTTGTGGTCACCCTGAAGACTGGAGATGGCCCCACACTGTGTGGGTCATATGGGTCCTGAGAGGTCATAGTCCCAACAGTGCTGTACCCATCCCAGCACTGACAGGTGGTGGAGGCCCTGCAGGCATGAGGACAGCCGACGTAGACACCAGGCTGTCAGGCCCCTCCGTGCTTCTGTCTATGCCTTACCTTCCACGTAGGGCAGATTGTCAAACCTGGGAGAAGAAAGTGGGTGCGGGAGAAGGCTCTGAGGATCCACTGATCCACACGCCATAGCAAAGAGACGTCCAGCCCTTACTGTTCCTTAGAACAAGATGGAGCATCTCCATGGTGCGAGGATTCTAGAATTCAGTTGTTTATTCAGGAGTGTTGAGAGAAGGTCTCTTCCCTAGGGTTTGGGGCTCACCCTGCTGAAGCAGCTTCAAGAGCCTGCCACAGCCATGAAGGGAGGTTATGGGACACCTCCGTGGAACAGTGTTTCTGGGGCTCAGCACTGGGCCTGCAAACCATGCCTGGTCCACTACACCATTCCCAGAGCCCAGCTCTCAGCAATGGCTTTGATGATGCCCTCACACCTAGCTCTGAGCCTGTGACCTTGGCCCTTGTCTGGCTGCTGATTGCAACAGGTGTGTGGTTTCTGACAGTGCCTTGTGGTTAGGCCCCTACATAGGACAGCTATGAAGCTCCCCTACCCTAGTGTTCACCTCAGCTGCCTCTGAGGAGCCCCTAGAGGCATGGAAACTGAAACATGGCATCTCCCCACAGCTACACCTGCAGTGTAACTAGAGACTTCCTTTTGCCCTCGGGGACTACCCTTTGAAAACAGAGCAGGTGCTGGGGAGGGTGTAGGAACAAGAGCTGGCTGTGGGGTTCTGGAGAAGCAGCCATTTCTAGGCTCAAGTCTTCATCCTTGAGCAGAACAAATGGTATCTAGGGACCCCTCCCTACCTGTCCCCTTGAAGCCCCCAGTGTCCATGACTGCATCCCACTTGTGCTGTACCCTGCGGCCAGTGCTGTGGAAGGCATAGGGCGACACATTTTTCACCCGCTGCTGAGGGAGGTGAACTGGCATGATCGCAGTAGAGAACTATTTACTAAAGCAGAGGCATGGAAGCCACAGCCAAACCTTCTCAGCTGGGAACAGTGTAGAGGCAGCAGGGGGACATGACTTCACAGGGGGCTGCGGGAAGCCTCCATGGAAACTGCCTGCCTACTGCCTCTGAGAATGGACACCCAATGGCTCCCTAGCACTGAGCCCTGGACACAGCAGAAAGACACACAAAATGGGGCGAGAACTCCAAAGAAAAGAAACTCTTTGCCTCTGTGAAAAATACTTTATTTTAAAAAGATTTATTTTATCTTAATGTGTTTGCCTGAATATATGTATATATATATATATATGAAAACTATATATATATGAAAACTATATATATATGAATATATATACATGAAAACTATATATATATAGGTAAACATATATATAAAGGAAACAAATATATATATATATATATATATATATATATATTCAAACAAACATACCCATATAAATGTATGTGTACACACACACACACCACATGTGTTCTAGTTCCACAGAGGCCAGAAGAAGGAGACAGACCCCCAGAAACAAAGTTGCAGACTGTGATGAGCCACTATGTGGGTGCAGGAAACTGAGCCTGGGTCCCCTGTAGCAGCAGTAGTGCTCTGAACTGCTGAGCCATCTCACCAGCCCCATCTTTTAAAATATTTTCTTCTGAGAAGGAAGAGGGCATTTGATTAATAAAATAAAAACCAAGCACATTTGTAATCAATTAATGAAGATGTATAAATTCTATCTTCTGAAAACTTGTTATGTGTGTATGGGTAGTTTTGCCTGCACGGATGTCTGTGTTCCTGGTACCCAAAGAGGGTCAGAGAAGGCATCGGATCTCCCGGAACAGGAATTACAGATGGCTGTGAGCTGCCACCAGCTGCTGCTATCTATTCTCTTACTTGGAAGTCTCACCTGAGGGGACTCTTTGTAGGAAGTCCAGCAGACGGCCTCCTGACTCAAGGGTGCTTGTCTATCTATCATCTATCTACCATCTATCTATCTATCTATCATCTATCTATCATCTATCTATCTATCTGTCATCTATCTACCATCTATCTATCATCTATCTATCATCTATCTATCTATCATCTATCTATCATCTATCTATCTATCATCTATCTATCTGTCATCTATCTATCATCTATCTGTCTATCATCTATCTATCTGTCATCTATCTATCATCTATCTATTATCTATCTGTCTATCATCTATGTATCATTTATGTATCTGTATCTATCATCTATTATCTATTATCGATATATCATGTATCTATGTATCTATGTATCTATCATCTGTCTATCATCTATCTATCTATCATCTATCTATCTATCATCTTCTAACCATCTACCTACCACTATTTATTCTTTTAATCTGGCTTGTAATATACTTAATAAACTCATTTAAAACCCAAAGTATAGCTGTCACTTTTCCAAACCATATAAAACAGAACTCTAAGAAGAAACAAACAAATCCTTATTTTGTGGTAAGGCTCTCAGAAATCCACAGATTGTGCAGGTGTAAAATACACGAGGTGTTGACAAGATTTGAAGAACACAATTGACAAGCATAAACCAATTAGGTGCAGCTCAAACTGTCAGTGGCCATGTCAGAGGAGCAGCAGGGGGGCACCAGTGGTGCATGCTTTAATCCCAGCACTCAGGAAGCAGAGGCAGGTGGATCTCTGTGAGTTCGAGACCAGCCTGGTCTACAAGAGCTAGTTCCAGGACGGGCTCCAAAGCTACATAGAGAAACCCTATCAAAAATCAAATGTACACGGAACACTCAGATTGGGCAATTAGGATTTGATGTGTCTTCTAACTTTCTACAGTGAGTGTATCATACTTTTCACAAGCAGTTTAAAGAGGAAGGAAGGAAGGAAAGATGGAAGGGAGAGAGGGAGGAAAGAAGGAAGGAGGGAAGGAAGAAGGAAGGAAAGAGAGAGGGAGGCAGGCAGGCAGGCAGGGAGGGAGGGAGTTGAGTCACTAGCAAGTCAGCTGAGTCTGACCGTGGATTATCTCACTTTCTGCTCATACATATGGCATATTTCAACTGCCCCCAACACTGTGACCACTATACAGGGTAAGAAACTGAGGCCACAAGCCCAGGCCCTTATTCCTGTGCCCCAGTACTAGAAACACAGCAGAAACCATGAGCCCCCAAACTAGGTGGGCCTACCTCCCATCTACCAGACCCTCAGAATCACCCCCAAAGAACATGGGGGGAGAAAAGGGCCAGCTCATGCTCACACAGATTTAATCTCTGCCCTTGGTCTTAAATTCCAGAATATTGCTTCCAAGCCACACACCCTTCTCCTGGCCACTCAAGGCCTAGTCATCCACCACACCCATCCCTGCAGGACCCAAGCTCTCCAGGGACCAGTCCATTCCCACCCTGACTCCCATGGAGTATGGACATCATGGCAACCTCACTCCATCATCTACACAGTGCCATTCAGCAGAGGCAAAGCAGGAAGAGCAGGAAGGGGTGGAGAAGTCATGGGTGCACTGGGAGCTGCAGCAGCCAGGACAGGAATAGGAGGCAGGAGGCCCTGCAGGGCCCTGGCAGTGCCCCATTGTTTGTTTGCTCCTTGATCCATCTGGTATACTTGGCGAGGCGAGTGTATACACCTGGACTCTGAGGTTTGATGCAGGCCTTCTCCCATGATAAGACCCCAGCCAGAGTCCATCTTCCATCAATTTCACAAGCCAATGGCCCCCCAGGGTCTCCCTAGGCAAAGACAAGGGAGTGATGGTGGCTCTGCTGGGACCACAGCACCTACAAGGCCCACCCCTTCTGTTCTGCTTGAGAGAATCACTCCTCCAGGAGCTCACTAGCTGGGGCTCCTTTGGCTTCTCAGTTGGAGACCACACCTATGAATTGCAGCCAATAGCAGTCACAGAGAAAAGATAGACCGGAGCTTGGTGGTGGTAATGCCAAGCCCTGGGGAACAGGCCCCCACCCCAGGACTCACCCTCAGAAAGAGAGTTGCCATAAGCCCCAGAAACTCACATAGCACAAGTTCTCTCCATAGTTGGTGGCACAGATCATGTTCCTACGGATAAGGTGGAAAACTCGGGGATAGAAGGACTTCTGGTGGAAAATATGATCACACCTCTTGTTGTCCATAATGAATACCTTGGCCTCCTGAAGCTCTGCAGCCAGTGTCAGGTTGTCTGTAGGGAGCACAAGGGATGAGCGGTGGCCCCTCAGTGTCTCCACCCAGCCCTGGCTCAGCCCTGCAAATCAACAGAGCTCAACTCTACCGCACCTGTGTGCCTCCCTTCCCGTGCTCCTCCCCCAGCAGTGTAGATCTGACACAGAAAGCTCCTCACCATGCAAGGCTTTGGTTCAGGAGTCCCCCTCTCGAGGAAGTTTCTGCTGCTGAACCCAGAGGGCTCTCAAGTCCCAGCACAGCACAGCCACTTACAACCTGGGAGCCCAGTCCTGTGATTTTTCTTTCCACAGCATTTGTTCCCTTAGCTCCAATTGACAGCTGCTTCTCTTTGCATTTCTGGTCATCTATCTACTCAGAGGTCAGCTCAGATCCCCTGAGTCCGACCTCAAAGTCTTCTGACAAGATCTTTACCTTGCTTGGTTGGTTTTTTTCAACAGTCTCATACAGCCAAGACTGGCATGAAATGTATGTACCTAAGTCTGGCTTTGAACTCATCATCCCCTGGCTCCACCTCCCTACTTCTAGGGTTATAGGTGGCATTCATCAATATACCTGGCTTCTTCAACACTTTCTTTGTCAGTCTCTGTACCACCCACCCCCATCCCCTACTTAGTGAGTCCCTTTCAGGCAGGGCAAGCATTCTGATGCTAAGGGCTCAGTGCATGGCAGCTGTTTCAGTTGTGGCCAGGGAGAATGTTTCTGTAAGAGGCGGGTGATTCTGCCCATCAGTGTTAGGCTGACTGCAGTGCCTCTGTCAACTGTGACAATGAGTACCATATGAGGAGAGCTTAACACACTCCAAACCACGTGCTGGAGACTGCAGCCATAGCCTTCACAAAGGTGCCACAAGGCATGGGACCGATAAAGGCCCAAAGGGACATCACCAAAGCCATCTCACTCACCTGAGGAGTGCTGCTTAGTCTTGCCCCAGCCGGTCACCCAGCACTGAGTCCCAACCTTCAAGCTGAAGTTGTGCTTTGGGAGACAGATGGGCTGCACATACTTGTTGAAGGTGACAGGAGTTTTAAGACGGACAAGGGCAATATCGCTTCTCATGAAGTTCCGGCCCCAGTACTTGGGATGCACAATGATGTCACCCACGGGAATCTTCAGTGCCCTGGAAGAGCTGTTGGGCTGCAGCTTGCTGCTACCCAGCATCACTGAGTATTCTTTGTTGCTATGGGAGATATAGAAGCCCACCCGGCAGACATCAGTTTCCCGCACAGCTATGCACCTGCCTCCACCCAGGACCCTTTTGAAGTCCTGTCTGACATGCTCTGTCCACTCACTCTGGATCGATCCAGCCTGGGGCACTCAAGGTAAAGACAAAATAGCCCCTTCATTCACAGTCCCATTGAGTCAGGTGTGTGGCTGTCACTCCTGGGGTGGGGCCTGGGTTTTCTTCTTGCCCAGCTTAGGATACATCTTTGTTGCTTGGGGATGCCCACATAGTCCTCAGATCTTGTAAGATCTTGAACCTGGCCCTTCTCCTGCGCTGGGCACCTCTTCCCATACTTCCTTGTTGCCATCGCCCTCATCATTTCACAGGAGTACTGAGGAAGCTGGGCCCGGGCCCACAGTAGCTCTAGGCCTTTAGATCCTGGAACCGTGTGGGCACACTCACCTCTGGAAGCAGTGAGCTGCGGAGATCACCCAGATGAGATCAATGAGGGCCCCTCCACACACGTGTTTATTTTCTATGCGAAGGCTCACTTCCCAGGGCCAACGGCGGATCTCCTTCATGTCGTCTGGCCACCAGGGCTTGCCACAAACTTCAAAACAAGGAATGCAGAGAGTACAGTGTCCGTGGAGAGGAAAATCAGAATGGCTAGTAACAAGTCACCCTCTTGGGATCAGGTTGGCAAAGCTGTACCATCAGGAACTTCTCCCCATTTCAAAGAGAAGAGACTAAGGGGCAGAGGACAGTGGACCCCAAAGGCACTGAACTGGACAAAACACAACAGTTACAGAGATGACAGCATGAAGAGAGAGAGAGAGAGACCCCACAGCCTGAGAGTAAGAATGAGATTCACAGAGGGCAATCCATGCCAATGTCAAAACAGTGCAGAAACAGAGCGGGAGTTCCAAGAAAAATGCTGTGCGTTGGTGGTGCACGCCTTTAATTCCATCACTCGGGAGGCAGAGGCAGGTGGATCTCTGTGATTTCAAGGCCAGCCTGGTCTACAGACTGAGTTCCAGGACAGGCTCCAAAGCTACACAGAGAAACCCTGTCTCAAAAACAAAACAAAACAAAACAAAAAAATCCAGTTTCAAGAAAAATGCTTTTCTTGCATTGGACTATGTTTCCGAAAAGCTGCACTGTTGGCTGCATCAGTTTGATGCAAAAAGTCCCACAGTGGTCAGAGTGGAAAAAAATAGCCATGAATTTGTCTATGAAAGGTCTTTACCCAAAGCAATCTAGAACACACAGTTTAGTTTGCCATAGGTCTACCAGCAAAGGTGTATGAATATATGAATGAATGAATGAATGAATGAATGAATGAATGAACATAGGTGCAGAGATCCTAAATAAAGTATAATGTGCTGCAGGGGGGTGGTGGAACACACCTCTAATCCCACCACTTGGGAGGCAGAGGCAGGCCGAGCTCTGTAAAGGCCAGCCTGGTCTACACAGTGAGTTCCAGGACAGCCAGGGCTATGTAGAGAGATCCTGTTTCTAAAAAAAAAAATTAAAATAGAATAATAAAAATAAAAACAAAAGAGAAAGAAAACCTCAAAACATTTGTGAAAAGAAAGGGTGGGTAAGGGGGAAAGAATATGACAAAGCAAAATTACAAACATGTTTGAAAGTGTTGTAAAAAAAATGATTACATACTAACTTTAAAAATTAGCAAGGGACTAGAGAGATGGCTCCACAGTTAAGAGCATGTGCTGCTCTCCCAGAGACCCAGGCTTGGTTTTCAGCACTAACATGTTGACTGGCAATCATCTGTAACTCTAGTTCCAGAAGATTTGACACATAACATACACACAGGCAAACACTCAAGCACACAAAATAAGAATTAACAAAAACAATTTTATGTCCAAATAAAAACATCTTTAGGGGCTGGGAGACAGCAAGGTTGCTAAAGTGCTTGGTGTGCAAGCGCCGAGACGTGAGTTCAACCCTCAGCACAGGCTAAAGCCAGGCATGATGGCACAGGTTTGTAATCCCAGTGCCGGGGAGGAGGGACCAGCAGATCCCTGGTACCTAGTCAGTCAGTCTGTTCCAAACTGCAACCTCCCAACCAATAAGAGACTGTCTCCAGAAACAAAGCAAACAGTGCATGAGGAACAGCACCCAAGTTCAGTTCTCTACATGCATTCGTCTGTACTCTCACACAAAAGCCTGCGCACCTACACACACACACACACAGTCTTTCAATGAGACTTAGTTACAGGGGGAAAACAAAGTGGTGAGGCTCAGACAGAAGCAAGAACATAGTAAATTAACCACATAGTCAATAGTGAACCTTAGTGGAGCCCTAACAGAACCCAAGACAGTGGAGGCCTGTGAACCCAACCATGCCCTCCATGGATCTAAGGGAAAAGACAGGAAGACCCAGGAGCCAGGCTCTGCAGACAGCGCCCCAGGAGGCTAGTTACAAAACTGTAGGAAAGGCTGGAAGTATCTCTGCATTCCCATGGAAGACCCAGGTGCTCTTTCTTCTAAATAGTCAGGGGTGTGTCCTGACGGCTACACCTGTTGTTCAGGAAGTACATCCATTACTTGCTTCCTACCAAGCCAGAAATGCAATTTAGACAGAGACATTGAGAACGTATTTTTCCCAGGCACTAGAACTTTCCCTGCCACGGGGACCCCCATTGACCCACCTGTTTGGTTGTGATCCCCTCCATCACCTGAAGGAGAGAAGGAGGACAGACATGAAGCAATAACTCGTAGTGGGATGGCAGGGAAGGCGTTCACTTTTTTATTAAATAATCCATCCATTCGGTCACCAAATCATCCCTGATCTGATGATGTTACCAGTCTGAAGTCACAGACTGGAAAACAACTATCAGACAGAGCCTGTCTGGGGACACATGCTGCCTAGCTGTTGAGACAGTAAACACATTACTTTGAGAGCAGGAAAAAGGCCAGGGCCAGAGAGGTCAGGTGATTCCAGGAGATGTGGTGGTGTAAGAGATGGCTGAGAGGAGATAACAAAATTGATAAAAAATTCCTCCAGGGAGAAACACAATAGTATATTCTAGAGCCTTTGGAGGATGAGAGTGATGTCTGTGTTGGAAAAGAAAAACGTCAAAAAAAAAATGAGTAAATAATGTCTGGATACAAGCATTAGAGGCCAACCGGAGAGGGTCACGTGAGCCAGGCTGAGACGCTCTGGGAGGCCGATGGAGACGTGGGTGGTATTATGAAGGCAGCAGGGTAGAGACAGGAAAGTGAAAAGACCAGGGGGTCTCTGCAGAACTCTGGCAAGCAGTGAGGGACTCTGAGTGAGGCTCTGAGAACAGATATGATGAGCTTGGCAGGTGACTAAGGACATGGCTTAGTCTAGAATGGCACTGGCTTCTGTCATTCACTTCACTGACATAGACAACTATGAAAGGCAGTTTTCAGGAAAATGAGTGTCTGGTGGGGCCACCAGAGAAGTGAGATGCTTCGTGATGTTTCAGGGAAGTGGTCCAGCAGATGGGTGTACTTCAGGCCATTGCTTTATGAGGTGGCATGACCTAACAGCAGCCAAGTGCCTGGGGCAAGTGACTAACTGCCACTCATGCCTGGGGTAACTGAGTTCACCCAGGGAGCACAGAAGGAGGAAGAGGCAAGGAATCAAAGGTGCCTTCAGGGCTGGTGGTCTGACTGGGCACAGAGGAGAGGGACTCCGCTGAAACAGAAGAGTCGGGAAGCTGGGGAAGGTGGTGTGTGTGTGTGCGCCTGTAATCGCAGCACTCAGGAAGTGGAGACAGGAGGCTCTGGACTTCAAGGCTGTCCTCAGCCACAAGGAAAGGTCAAGGCTACCCTAGGGTTCATGAGACCTTGTCCCCTTCCCCAAATAAAAAGAGAAAAAAAAGGGGGGGGAAGATATGGAGAAAGAGCCACAGAAATAGAAGAACGTCAGGAAAGCGCTGAGGATGACATGGGAAACCGAGGGAAGCGTGAAGTGATAGCGACTCATGGGGAAGGTTGGCAGCGCACCGGGAGGGGTGGAGGAAGACAGCAATGAGCCCACTTGGACGGATGAGCAAGGCTGATGTAAGCAAGCAGCGCCTGCCTCTCAGCGCATGGAGGGCCCTGCTCCAGCGGCTATGGGAGTGTTACAGAGCAGTCAGATTTGGAGGAACCGCTGGGGGCAGAGTCTGAAGAGACCGCGCTCACGGGCTGGTGATGGGAAGAAGCCAACGTTTAGAATATCATCCTTTGGAGAGGATGGAGATGCGGAAGGCACCTGGGCTTAGGGGGAGAGGCCAGGGGTGCTCCCTGCTGCTGTCTCCAGGAGACCACAGGGCGGCTGGGAGCTGAGGAACCTAGAGGTGGGTAGCAGAAGAGGCAACGGCAAGGTGGGGTTGGCGCACCCAAGTTCCAAATGGCTGGAGAGGAATAGCCAATTTGAGCAAGACTGGAGAGAAGTGGACACAGGGACAGCAGAGAAGGGGCCCGCCTCACCCAAGTTTGAAGGCGGAAGCAGCAACAGCAGTGTCACAAAACAGGGTAGGAGCCAGTGCCGCAGGGATCCAGGCCAAGTGCCCAGGCCACACGACAAGGAAGCCATGGAGATGGTGCCATGGGCGGCGGAGACAGCGCCAGCGTGCTACCACGTGCCCACACCCCATACGTGATGACGTCTTAGACTCGGGACGGGACGTGATGGCACCTGACCACGCCTCTTCAGGGTTCTCACACCTCGACCCAGTCTGGCCCTTAAGGTGACTCCAGATCCCTTGGCTGGGCCTGGATCTCAGGTTACGGATCTATGAAAGCTGCCCCAGTGCTTTGAGAGTCCGGTGGTGCATCCAGACCCTAACCGGTGAAAGTCCCTGGGCAGGAGCGGCCTCTCCTCCTCCAGCCTCAGGCTGCACAAGGAGTTTCAGGGTCAGGATTGACAAGGACGAGGAAAGCCCAAGATCAGGAAATAACGATGTCGGTTGGGAAGGTGGTTTTGAGAAAGTAATGGCTGATTTGGATCTAAGACTAAATCTAGGAGGGTAGGGCTGGGAACAGGATGCTGAGTAAAGAAGGGCAGCTGTCCCCTTCCACAGACCGGCAATATGAAAGATTGTCGTCACTGAAAAGAAGTGCCTGTTTGTGCCTGGCCTTGGACATAAACAGGGTTTAAATGGAGGGATGAGCTCTCTGGATCTTTAGAGCCGAGCAGAGATTTTGAGATGACCACTAAAATTCCTATTTTCTTTGTTTAGTTCCAGGTGTCCAACAGAACTCTAGGGATCCCATGAACCCAGCCTGGCATCTAAACATGGTGTGTGTGTGTGTGTGTGTGTGTGTGTGTGTGTGTGTGTGTGTGTGTTTAAGACAGGGTTTCTCTGTGTAACAGCCCTGGCTGTCCTGGAACTCACAGAGATCTGACTACCTCTGCCTTTGAAGTACTGGGATTAAAGGCGTGAGCCGCCACCACCACTAGGCCAACATTTTTATTTTTATTTTTTTATTTAAGAGCGGTGGTGGTGCTCACCTTTAATCCCAGCACTGGAGAGGCAGAAGCAGGCAGATCTCTTGAGTTTGAGGCCAGCCTGGTCTACAGAGTGAGTGAGTTACAGGACAGCCAGGACTGTTAACATGGAGAAACCCTGTCTTGAAAAACAAAAATTTTTAGTTTAATTTTATTTTTTTTATGTGTGTGTGTGTTGTCTGCCTATATGTCTGTACTCCATAGTATATGCCTGATGCTCACAGAAGCCAGAAAGTGACATCAGATTCCCTAGGGCTGGAGTCAGATGTTTAGAAGCCACCATGTGGGGTCTGTGAATCAAACTTGGGTCCTATGGAGGGAAGCTCCTCACCACCAAACCATCTCTCCAGCCCCCCAGCTTGGCACTGACATGAGTCTGAATGAGTAATCTGCCCCACTTACATGTCAAGGTAAGCGAGAGAAGATTGTCCTTCTGCCAGCCTTTGGTTCCCAAAGTTAGGTCCCCACAGCTGCTGCACCAGCAGCACCTGGGAATGTGCTCTGGCTCAGACTTCCAGGATTGAAAACTTCCTTGATGAGACCAATAACTCGGACTGTGTTTCTTTTTAGATGGGGTCCCTCTCTGTGTAGCCCTGGCTGGCTTTGGACTTGTGGTAATCCTCCTGCCGCTGCCCCCAAGTGCTGGGGTTACAGGCATGTCTGATCACTCCTGGCCGTAATGTGGATTTTTAACAAGCCCTCAGAGTATGCTCACATAGGTGAGGAATGGACCATGAGGCTAAAAGTGGAGCTGTCTAATGGGGGAGAAGAAAGCTATCTATTGACATAGAATAGCTTGCTGAAAAGACAAAGTTAAACTTGTATTGTTGGTCTGTGAAGAGCCAATAGTTTCTGGAGGGTGGAGGTGGTTTGGGGGCTTGCGGTTGTTGTCACAGCACCTCATTTATCCAAGGTCAGCCTCAAACTCAATTTATAGCAAAGGAGCAACGGACTGTATTTGCCTCCACCTTCCAAGAGGTGGGGATACAGACCAACAGCACCCCATGTATTCAGGGAACAGTGGTTTCTTAAACTGATGATGTGTGTGTTTAAGAGGGGGATCTGACAAGCTACATAGTGACATCCTGTCTCGAAAAGCAAACAACAAAAGAAGTAGAGAGGGGGTTGATATAAACTGCCAGGCTCAATCATTCTTTGGCAGTGGTTGGAACTCAATGCCCACTGAAGCCATGGAGAACAGAGGTTGAAAGACAGGACCCTGGAAAACAAAGGGGGGCGGGGGTGGGGAGGGATTGGAGGAGGCTGGAGAGCACACCCGCAGTCAGACCCTGTATGAGGAAGCTGTATGGAATGTTCTGTGTCTCTCTTAAAACCCTCCTGGCTTTGGAATCATGGCCTTTGGAAATAAAGTCAGATGAATAGCAAGAAGGGAAAGACAAACAAACAAATAAAAGAAGAGAAAGACTGTTTCCCAGGCCCCAGCTTCATTCTTACTCCCAGGTCCTGACTCCCCCGAGTCCCTGCTCCTAGCTTTGAATGCGGTAGAGCTAAAGTTCCTGCCCTATGCTGATGGCTGATAACTACACCAGGCACACAGGGAGCAGAACTGCCTGACAAAACTACCTAAAGGACTCAGGTCTGAGCTTTCCCAGCCTCATCTCTTTTATGCTTTTAATACGAACTGCAAGTAACTTCCCTAGGCAAATGGGGTCTAGTCCTCTGGGCAGTCAAGTATCCCAGGTGAACAGAGCTCCAGGACACACAGGACACTCTCGAAACATTTATTCAGCTCGTATTTGAAATCTCCCCACTCCACAACTGCCTCAATACAACTTGGGTGACTCTGGGTGTGACCACTGGGCAAATGAGGAAGGAGGTGCCAAGCAGAGCTGTCCTTTCATGAAACCTATGAGGCAGAGGTTGTGCGCTCATCGACAGACCCCCTTGAATGGGGTACAGGGGAATTTCTGCCAGCCCCAGATAAGTCCCTGCTTCACACCTCTGCAGGGAACTGGCAACGTTCCCCTTTTCCTCCCTCCCTCCTCTCTTCCAGCACTGTAATGAAAACGGAGCCAGTCTAGTGCCGGTCCTACTGATGGTCTGTCTTCTCGGCAGATGTCCTCCAAATGTTATGAGTCATTGTGCTCCACCTAGCCGTCAAGCTGGCCCCCTAGTTAGGGTCAGTTCACTCTCCTTCCCACCAGGTAGAGAACAACCAGGTATGGGTGTATCGGAGACAAGTGACCAGAACACCAGTCAGGACACTTTGCAGTCCCTAGTCACCCTGCCACAGTTCACTATGGCTCTCCCCAGGGCAATGGATTCTGCCTGGAATCTGAAGAAAGGGCAGAGAGAGGGAAATGAGATTGGAGAAGAGGCCTAGTGGGAGACTCAAAACCAGCAGGAAGACAGTTAGGCTAAGGAGGTCACAGCATTACCAAGATGGCCAGTTGCAGCATCAGAAGCAGGTGTAGGACCATGAGTCCCACAGAATCCACACAGGAAGGCTGACTTAAAATATATTTGACCCATTCCTTGTATTCGACGATGTCTGTGTAAACTGAGGGAACAGCGGTGCTGCCACAGTTGATGCCCCAGCTCACAATCCCCACCTGGGTCCACCTGTTGTCAGATTCACAGACAAGGGGGCTCCCAGAATCTCCCTGGAAAAGAGGAGAAAGAAACAACTGTAGGGATGGACAAGGGAACAGGCTGCCTGCATTGCAAGGTGCTGGGAAGACGTCCTTAGGCACCCAGAGGCTCTTCCAGGCCTATTTTGTTTTGTTTTGCTTTCTGTTTTTTTGGTTTTTTTTTGTTGTTGTTTCGTTTTTTGTTTTTGTTTTTTGTTTTTTTTTTTTTTTTTGGACAGAGTTTCTCTGTATAACAGTCCTGGCTGTCCTGAAACTCACTTTGTAGACCAGGCTGGCCTCGAACTCACAGAAATCTGCCTGCTAAGATTAAAGGTGTGAGATATCACACCCAGCCCTAGATTCTTTTAATGACTGAGATTTAACAGATGAAAAGCTCATGTGAAAACTTTAACATCCTCTGGGCAATGATCCACCTTCTCCGATGATCAGACACATAGAAACAGATGCAGAGCCAGTCCAGCCCAGGAGAGCAGTCAGATATGGAAATTTGCCTCAGCAGTCCCTAATCTACAGATACCAAACCCTTTCTGGTGAGTGTTGAAGCCTGTCATAACTTATAACCCTGCAACCGTGGTAGCCCTGGCCTCTAGAGCATGTAGCCTGCAGCCTGCAGAGCCCACTCCAGCATCAAGCCAGTGTCTAGTTAGACTGGTCAGTCCTGGGTTTTCAAAAGCATTAAATATTTTGAGCTGCGTCATTGCACGGAGGTTCTGGGATTCTTATCACAGTCTTAGAAACTCTCTCTGCCCTAACCCCACTGAGTAACCTCCTCCATTGGTCAACTACACTGCCTTGAAGAGCCTGAAACATGTCAAATTTCCACTTCCAGCACAATTCTGAATGGCCTTGCCCCACTCTAAACCCAAGGCTCTACAACCAGCCACCTCAAACAAACCTCCCTCACCACCTCAAGTCCAGACACCACCCACCCAAGGGAGTCACTTATCTAGAAGGTAACTGTCACCATGTTCACCCAGCTTCACCTCCTAGTCCTGGCTGGGCCAGTCTAGAAATCTGACATAGCACTCCAGGCTACATATATCCCAACTCTAACCACTCGGTTTTTGTTTTGTTATTTGTTGTTGTTTTCAAGGTAAGCTCTCCCTGTGTAGCCCTGGCCATCCTGAAACTTGATTTGTAGACCACACTGGCCCCAAACTCAGAGATCTACTTGCTTCTGCCTCCCTGATGCTGGGATCAGAGTGTGCCATCTCTCCAACTCTAACCACATGTGTGACCACTCTTGCTATCCCACTGCTTACCACATGTATGACCACTCTTGCTATCCCACTGCTCCAAATGCATACAAAACTTTCAGCATAAGACCTCTGAACCCTTACACATGCCTGTGTCCTATCTTTTCAATGTTACCCTCCCCTTTCCAAGAAATTCAAATGTGCATCCACTAATACCCCAAACCCCTTCTCCAGAGTGCAACTTTATATAGAGGGGAGAAATGGATCTGGGGTCCTAGAGGTACTCACAGATCTTCAATTTATCTCCTTGAATTTTGCCTTGCAGAGATTTACAATGTCTATGTTGCAAGGCTGTGATGTGGGTTAACTAAGATAACAAAGGCAAATGCTCACATTGGCATGGTTGAATGCCACATAAAACTCAAGGCAAAACATTTCACTATCACCCCCAGATTCAGTGCTTTAGCATGGTTCCTTTTAGAAGGACCAGGCCAGGCCAACTCATGGGAAACATGAGGACTCACTCCATAAACCTTAACTAAGGGGTTTGTACCAGATATAGCAGCGTGGCACAGTGACTCACATTTCTATCCCAGTGTCAGGAGGCAGAGGCAAGAGGATCTCCGGTTTGAGGCCAGCCTGATCTACAGAGTGAGTTCTAGGGCCACACAGTGAGAAAATAGAGGTGGTGATGGCCGATAACTCAAGCCTTTGAGGTGACAACCAAAACATACTGACCCAGCAAGGACTCTGTCCCGAGTCATGGCGGCCACAGATCATCCCTTTTATCACTAGGTCTTCTGTTGTTTTCAGCTGTGTCTGGAGCACCTGATTACAGCGCTTCCGGAGAAGAATGCTTTCCTGAGCCTCCTGGAGGAGAACTGGAGCAAACACTGTATCGGCAGAAAGACAATGTAGGATCTGTACCTGAAGATGGCAGGAGCTACCAGCAGCCTCTTGGTGCCACTGGGTGTGTGAATATACAGATGATCCCTTAAGACAGATAGGCCATGGGGGCTAGGGAGATGGCTTAGGAGTTAAGAGCACCGACTGCTCTTCTAGAGGACCCTGGTTCAATTCCCAGCACCTACATGGAAGCTCACATGTAGATCCAGTTCCAGGAGATATGGTACCCACACATAGATATACATGCAGTCAAGAATACTCATATACATAAAAATAAGTCATGAAAGGAAAAATTAAAAATGTTTACTTAAAAAAAAAAGACAGGCCATGCACTGGATAACTTCCCCATAGGAAACATACAAGAAAAATTTTGCCAGCTAGAAAATGACAACAAAGCATCTGCCAGAGTCAAAGGTCCTGTGCTCTGCTCAGCCCAGGAAGGAGGAAGCTCAACCCATTGAGGGAAGAACAGCTCGAATTGGCCAGTGTCACATTACCCCAGCCTGAATCTAACTTTTACAGAAACCATCACGCCTGTCACCCACGAACCCAGGTCCTGACACAAAAATAATGAGCCTAACACAGTTGCAATGTACTCAGCTGTTAGTGTATTCTCAGCTAGAAACTCGCCCCTGTCCTTGCAGACCACCCCCAGAGCAGCAGGCTGTCCGAATTCTGCATGCCACCAACCTGACTCACCATTTTCATCCTGGAGGCTCCAGCCAGTCACCCAGCACGACGTCCTATTCTCCACTTGGAAGGGCTTTCCAGGAAGGCACACAGGCTGGATAAGTGGGGAGAAATTCACAGGGGAGACCAGCAGAGCAAGAGCAATGTCACTTTGCATGGTTTGAAGGTCAAAACTGGAAGGATAAATGATGTCTTTTCCTGGGATCAGAGTCCCATTTCCAGATTTAGGATTCAACGCATTGTCTCCCAGCATCACAGCGTATTCCTCCTGGCTGCAAGGAAAGCACATGACCCTTGCAGAGGTCCTCAACACATGGTACTTGCTTCTCAGTCTAGTTGTATGGATGCCAAGCATCAGCCCTTCCCGCAGGCCACACCCCCCTTCTCTAGGACCCCGGACCACCCTTGACCGCCGGCAGTGCTCCAAGTGTGGTTCTGAGACCAGTATCACCTGGAGACTTGCTAAAAATGAAGATGTTCAGGTGTCACTTGAGACTAGACAAGAATCCTGGACTGTCATTCTTTTTACAGATGAGGAGGAATTGTGTGTGTGTGTGTGTGTGTGTGTGTGTGTGTGTGTGTGTGTGTGTGTGTGTGTGTGTGTGTATTCATAGTCCTGGCTGTCCTGTAGACCAGGCTGCCCTCAAACTCTAGAGATTCACCTGCCTCTGCTTCCTGAGTGCTGGGATTAATGGTGTGTGTCACCACTACCCAGCTAAAAAAAATTCTTGATATGGGGACAGAACACAGCTGGATCAAGGGCCCCAAACCAGATCCCCAACCACTTACCCATATATACAGTGGGCCGCAGTCAGCACCCACTGACGGTTGATGAGGGAGCCTCCTCATATGTGTTCTTTTCTGCTCTGCAGGCTCACCTGCCAAGGCCACTTCCTCACTGCGGACGGCCTTCCGTGAGCGAACTCCATAATTCTGTGGCCACATGGTTCTAAAGAAAGATTAAAAGTGAAGCCATTACTCCACACCGCCATCCATTCCACACACAGACAAGGGTCATCCTCATGAAGAGACTGTCTCACCAGTCCTCCAGGGGCAGGAGCCGACCCCACCTCCCCAGCCCGACTGGATTGCCCTTTGGCCTCCCAGACAGGCCTGTGGAGCCCTGGCACCAGTAAGCAGTACTGCAAAAAACGGTCCTCCTGGAAAGCTACCACCGAATTTCAAGGCATCTTGGGTTGCGGTCGGCCAAGGAGTCCCTGATCCTGGAGTTCCAGTAGGATCTGGAGACACTGGAACTACCGAAGGATCTGAAATACTCAGGGATTTTACGTGGTCCGACTGTGCTGAGGCCTCTGGACCTGTGGGCATCACTCTGGAATCCTCCCTGGGTCTGTAAGTACCACCTAAGGAAGAGACGGACAGGAAGAGCTCAGGCGGAGCCGTGCCCGCGCCTGCGCAGCTGCTTGCTGCTGGCCTGAAGGCCCCAACAGCACCAGTACCGCCACCAACGCCAACACCATCTCCATGGCCACGCCCACCCAAGCCAAGCTCCATGCAGCCACACCTCCACCACTGCTACCACCCGGGACCCCTGTCCCCAGCCAAGGCCTCACTGAACAGAGGCTGAAGAAGCTGAAGCCAGGCCAGGAGGGCCAGGAAGCCGCCCCTGTCACCCCTGAGGAAGCTGCCCATCCAGGCCTTGGGCTGAGGCAGTCCCTCTCCTGGCACCCCCGCCCCCCAGCAGTGGCTCGTGCAGGTAGATGCCTTTGTGTGGACAGGACAGCTGTGTGCTGTGTGCGGCTGTGTGTGTGCAAATGCAGAGCATCTCCCTAAGACGTCTGACCCTGACGCATTCACCAAAAAGCTAGCTGGGTAGCACTGTCATGGAAGAGACTTTGAAGGCATTCTACATGTTACCAATATTAAACAAGAAAGGGGCCAGAGCACTTGCTGCACTTGCAGAAAACCTAGATTTGGTTCCTAGCACCCACGGTGGCTCACAACTACTCATAACTCCAGTTCCAAAAGATCCAGCCTCTATGGGCAGCAGGCACGCTCAAGGTGAGTACACACACACACACACACACACACACACACACACGCACGCACGCACGCACGCACACAAGCACGTGGGCACATATACACACGAAGACAAAATTCTCACACACAAAAATAAAAAATAATGTTTAAAAAATATTAAATAAAAAGACTCCCCAGTCCCAGGAAACCTGACAGCTTAACCGTTTGATAATTTTCTTTTTAACCTCTGGTGGTAAAATAAGACCATACACAAAACCACAGAACTACACAACTTTGATAATCAGTGTCAAGTGACGAAGCACGCATCTACAGTCCAGGTCAAGACACAGGACTTTGCTGGTGGCTCAGAAGCCCCTCCGTGTGCCTTCCATGACACAACCAGAGGCTGTGTTCATTAATCTTACTTTCATGTAATCAGACATTTGTGTTTTCTGTAGTCCTCACCCCCAAACATGCCTCCCTGAATGCTATGCCTGAGTCTGGAAGGGCTGTTTCGCACTAATGTATCTTTAAGAGATGCTTAAGGCTGAACTTCCTCCTCTGCCCCTCACACTTCCTGTGTAGAAGACCCTGGATTGTTTGGCTGGTAGAGTCTGCTACGGTCTAGACTCCTTGAATTGCACTCGTCCTTATTCTTCTCTATTTCCTGCAAGTCCACAGTGGGACCCGACCCTTTGCCAACCAGGTAACAAGTGCTATATTCTATTATTAGGAGGCACACAATGCCTATGGGGTTTTCTTTTTTTAATATTTATTTTATTTTATGTTTACAAGTGTTTTGCCTGCATGTATGGATGTGTTCTGCATGTGCGCCTGGTGCCCATAGAGGCCAGAAGAGGGACCAGATCCCCTGGACTGGAGTTATGGATGTCATATGAGCACTGGGAACTGAACCAGGATCCTCTTAACTGCTGAGCCTTCTCTCCAGCCCCACCACACAGTTTTCTTTTGTGACTTTACAAATGGTTTGATGATTTTGCCTAGAAACACTAATCCCTTGGGGGCGTTGAAAAATAGTGATCTCGTAAATGTAGCATTCTTCTCTTGCGCGTCAGTCAGCTGGGGAAGTTTTGTCAAGAGCTTGGCTATTAACACGCTTTACAGACTTTAAAGAATTGCAACTGTCGTCCCTACTGTGGTGGGTTAGAAAACCCAGTAACAACATTTTGCATCTTTACCAACCAAGAAACGGAATTCATCCAGGTGTATAATGCCAGCCATTAGAAGTGAGAGGCAGTAAAAAGGCAAGTCCAAGGCTAGCTGGGCTATATAGTGAGTTTAAGGCTTCCCAGTACTAAAAAGTAAGGCCTTGACTCATTGCCCCACCCTTGTTGAAGCTAAGATGGCTTTGTGATCTGTTTCTACCAACAGAAGTAAAGCTGTTCGACTTCTGAGCTTAGACATTCCAAGTCCTTAAAGTGTCTGCCTTCACCCATTCGGATGCTCTCCTGAGAGCCTTCTCAAGAAAAGGGAAGCATCCAGACCAAACATCCAGGACACTGTTTTATGCTTTATGAAGACGTCATAAACACTGAATTAGCAAATACTGAGCCATTGCTTTTATGGGAAACCAGGCTTATGTGCCCGTGAACCTCTGCTCACAGTATTCTCAGTCAACGTGTTACCCATTTCTAAGTGTTCTAAACAGCTTATCACATCCACTGTTAGTTCACTGCACTCCTGGCACACAGCTCTTTAACCTGTGCCTAGGGAAGGCTGTCCCAAGAAAACTTCTCCACGACATACATCTTGGCTTTCTTGCACCCAGGAATGCTAGGCAGCATCTCAGATTATGGTTGAGGTTCTTTGAAACTGAAAGAAAAATACCAGCAAAAGCCAGAAATATGTAAGAGAAATGTGGCGGTAAACACTTGTTTAAGTGAGAGCCCAAGGAAGCAGGGAAATCATCCTGCTATTCAGCTTTTTCGGGAAGCATGCGTACCAGATGCCTCAATGTTTCCACTGCTCTGTGAAGGCTGCAATGAGAAGTTGAGCATGGAGGAACACTGCAGTGTGGGGCCATTCAACCTGGGAGGCGATGCCAACAATGGGTCCCTCAAACTCTGCCTGAAGCTTGTATTATTCCATTTTTGCCAAGCATAGTTCCTGGAAGCAGTCTTGACAGTGGTGAGTGCAGCGGGCTGGGGAGAAGTGAGCTGTCATTGAGACACACCACATAAGACAGCAAGCAAGCCAGGCAAGGCTGGAAACTCAGAGGAGCTGAGCTACAAGCAGCTGTGGTTGAGGTCTCTGCTGGCCACACAGGGGCCCTTCCAAATCTTACCAAATGTTAAGGGCTGGGCCTTGCCCTGTCTCTCTGCCTATCAGTGATTTTCTCTAGGCTGAGCTTGACAGATGTTATCTTAGGAGGTGAGTTCCTGGCAGCTCCAGGTGCTTTTTCTGGGAGGCCAACACTGGGTCAGTTTCTCAGAAGCTGAAGGCAGGTGTGACATCCAACAAGCTGCCTCTCCCTACAGAGTGCCCATTCTGACCAGTCTATGACTCATTTGGTTAGGATCCCACTGTTTCTTTTATATATTTTTTTCTTTATGTGTGTGAGTGTTTTGGCTGCCTGGGCCCGTGAAAGTCAAAAGAGGTCATCAGATCCCCTGGGACTGGATTTTTAAGAATGGTTATGAGCCACCATGTGGGTGCTGGGAACTGAACCCTGTCTTGTTTGTCAGCAACAACCACTGAGCCATGTCCCCAGCCCTGCCCCCAGTGGTCTCTAATAGTGACCATACTGCTGTGTGGAATAGTGGGAAGAATCAGGGTGCTTTTAGACATTTCCTACTCACACCTATAGACTTTTTTAAGCCTTCTCTCTGGGCAAGCCTGGGGGAAATGGTGTTTCAAGATCACAAGATCTGGCCACAAGAAATGGTCATGATATCTGTGTCTCTTGGCCTTTATAACCCGAAACTGCAGGCACTATTTGTGTGTTGTTTTGCTTTTTGTAAAACCTACTGTGTTCAGTGGAACTCATTGTCTGCCACTCACCTCCTCCTTCCCCTGCATCACCTCTTTTAGAGGGAGATCCCCTGGACCACCATGCCCCTTTACTAGAGCCTAATAACTTCTCCCTGTCTGGGATTGGCCCATGTTCCTCTACTTTAGGTGGAGCTCTGCCCTAGCATAGTTGTAATTGAGGCAGCCCACCACAGCACCAGGCCAGGACATTTTACAAGCTAAACGGACTGCCGTGCTCCACTGAGGTGATCCCTGGGGCAGTGGATCCCAATTGGAGTTTGAGGAGGGTGTGGCTGCACAGTGCTTGGCTGAGATGGGGGTGACCATAGTGGTGACATTGAAGGTGGAGGGCAGTCAGCTCGCAACATTGTCTGACTCCAGTCCCAGGGGATGTGGTGGTACTTCTGGCCTTTGTGAGCACTGGCAGACATGTGGTGCACTTACATGCAAGCAAAATACACATATGAAAAATAAAATAAGTTTTAAAGTCTTTTAAAAAAGGTATCTGTAGACGATATGACAGTGTACATAGGAATCGGGAGAGGGGCTGGAGAGACGGTTCAGCAGATAAGAGCACTTACTGCTCTTCCAGAAGGCCTGAGTTCAGTTTGTAGCCCCTCCATGGCAGCTCACAACCATCTGCAATTCCAGTTCAAGGGTTGTGATGCCCTCTGGCCTCTCCAGGCACAGAGGTACACAGACATACATGCAGTCAAAACACCCACACCCCTGCAATCGAAGCACTCAGGAAGCTGAGGTCAGTCTGGTCTAGCTAGGTAGCATCAAACTATCCAGGACTGTAAGCCCCTGGAGACCAGGCCCTGCCCCTGAGGCCCTCCAACCACCAGGCTTCACCCACAAAACACTCTAATGGCCATAACTGCTGAACTCAGCCCCTCAAGACAAAGGTGGCCAAGCTCTGCCCTACAGGTGCCCAAGATCAAAATTACAAAATGCCACCAATCCTGGACGATCCTGTGCTAGGGTCTGGCCTGTATCAGTCTCACACCACAGAGAAACCCTGTCTCGAAAACCCAAAAAAAATTAAATTAAAAATAAAAAAAAATAGTCTGGACTCTGTGAGTTGCCCGTCTGCACCCTCCACTTCCTGCTTATCTATAGCTACACATTTACAGATGGACGTAGGCTCCGCTCTTTGTCAACACGAGAATCAATGCTGTGTTCTGCCACCGAGAGACGTAACATCAGATGGAGGCCTTTTTGTGACAATGCAGGCAGTTTACCTAGAAAGGAATTCATTTGGGTTGAAAGTGCAGTCTCGTAATCCCATGCATTCTTTCAGTCACAGCAGGGAAAACTAATAAAGATTTTGGAGACGGGACCAGGGACGTAGCCCAGTGGTAGAGACTTCACCTTGTATGTGTAACCCTTGATCTCCACTACTTCAGAGAGGAGGAGGAGAGAGCAAGAGGGGAAGAGAGAGAAAAATATTAGGACTTAGTTCATTTTAGAGGTGTTAAAGAATTTTTTATTAGCCTTAATGTGGCAGAATAGAGAACCTAGGTATAGAATATTGTGTCTCTACACACCAAGAAATTAAATTAGGCAGGCATGGGCTTTTACTCCCACCACTCAGGAAGCAGGGACAAGCAGATCCCTGTGAGCTCCAGACCAACTAGGGGCTACACAGTGAGGTCGTGTAGCCACCCCCCCCATACATAAATCAAACAACACAGAAAGGAAAAGAAATCAAATTCATCTCACATTAAGTCTGATTTGGCATTAAGATTTTCTTTTGCTTTTTTTAAAGATAAGGTGTCATGTGCTGAGTTGGCATTGTACAGAAATTAACAGCCATATTGGTCTAGAAATGTTGAACTTAATTTTCTTCCATTTGTACAGGGGTAACGCACTGTATTAAATAGGTAAGGTCTTATCTACGTGGGTTTGATTCCAAAAACTAATAAAGTATTCTCTAAATAAAAAAAAAGAAACACATGAAAATAGAAAGAAAAGAGAAAAAACAAGGTAGGGTGTCATGGATTCCTGGTCTGCCTCCAGCTTGCCAAGGGTGACCTTGAATTTCTAGTTCTCCTGCCAGCACTTCCCAAGCACAGGCTGCAAGTGTATGCCACTGAGCCCAGTTTCAGATGGCATCAGGGATCAAACCCACGGCCTCACACCTGCTAGGCACTCTACCAACTGAGCTACACCTTCTGACTGACTGACTTATTTTGGATAAACAGAGTGTGATGGAAGCAAAGTTGTCCAACTTCTGAAACTGCTGAGAGTCTGGCAGCTTCTGCTTCCCTCTGCCTGGACCATGGCCCTAAGGCCAGGTGCTGGAAGATGAGAACCCTTTACCAGGAAGCAGAGACATCCTGTTCCATACTCTCAGGCAACTATTCACCACAGGCCATGAATGTCAGGGGTATTGTGGTCCTGGTGGAGCTGCCACACGAAAGTGCACAGACCTGCACTCCCACTGGAGCAGCAAGATTTGCCCTACTCACCCTTATAATTGTGAGAGACACAGTTGCATATTGTCATTCGCAGGAGACACCTGTCACAGTGAGCACTTATCCATGCATTGCTCCTAGGAGAAAGATAGGCTTAGGTCCCAATAAGCTTCTGCTGAAAATATTCTCATCAACCAACCATCATATTCAGCAGCCTGTGTGTGTGCACTCTGTTAAATGGCTGGATTCACAGGCAACAGCAATCTAAGTGCCTGCTGGAAGCTGCTCCAGTACACTGCTTTTTCTTCATGAGGCCCATCACTTCTTGCCCTTAAGAACCATGGCAGTCCGATTCATCACTGCTATGGACAAATACCTGAGAGAAACAATTCAAGGTAACTGATGGGGAAATGTACTGTGTATGTTTATCTTTTTGATTGTTAAATAAAATACTGTTTGGCCAATGAGACAGCAAGTAGACGGGACTAGGAGTCAAAGAGGATTCTGGGAAATGTAGTAGAGAAGTGCTGATTCAGGCAGGAAGTGACATAGCAAGGAGACTTATATTTAAGTGAAGGAGAAACAGGAAAGGCTTCTCTTTTCCCCTCCGCTCCTGTTCCAGTGGCACAATGTGATCCACCGACAAGGAGGGATGCCAATAAGGAGTCCCATAAGATGAGTCTTATAAAATATATAGGTTTATGATAATTAAGACTGAACTAACAGATGAGGAATCCTAGTCATTGGCCAAGCAGCATTGTACCTAATACAAGTTTCTGTGTATTCATTTGGGCCTAACACGGGCAGGCGTCTGGCGTAAAGCTCACACGTGGCGGGGGGGGGGGAGGGGGCCCAGGCGACTTTTGGCGGAAAGATTTATCGTATCAGGTAACTATTCATGTTGGCTCCCAGTCTTTGAGGGTTCGGCCTAAGATGGTGGGAAAGGCACAGTGGAGCTGCTCACACTGCGGCAGTGTGCAGCAGACACTGGGAACACAGGAAGGAGGCAAGGGAAGATATGGTTCTCAAGGACACACCCTCCATGACGCATCTCCTCCACCTAGGTTCCATCTTTCCCCACCTCCCAGCAAACCCGATCATATTATGGATGAATTTCCAGCCCTGGTGCTCTAATTGGACTTGCTTCTCAGAAACGTACCTAGGACTTGCTTCATTTTCTAGGGATCTATTAGTTCAAGCAAGAGTAATGTCCCCATGCTAAGCAGCATCTCAACAAGGTGATCGGGACCTTTAAAACCATACAATCATCAGCAAAAACTACAAAAAAAAAATACTTCCCTAGATAAATGGGGGCCCATTTCTCTTTAGAGTATTCCATAAGCAGCCAAATATTCCAGATAGACAAAACTCCAGAACATAGGAGAGACATTTATTCACTTCACCTCTAAAACCTATCCTCTCCAAAACTGCATCAACACAACTTAAGATGGCCCTGGAAGTGGCTGCTAGGGTGTGAGGGAGAGGGTACCAGTCAGGACTACTCCCACGAATCTTGTGCAGAAGTTTGGTACTCACAGATGGATTCCCACTGGGGCTCAGGGGAATTGCTGCCAACCACAACTGAGCCAGATGTAGGCGTCCCAGGCTCACAGCTCTGCAGAAACTTGCTGTGCCTCCCGTCTCTTTCTTTGTGAGTAATCACGGGACTCACTGGTATGTACAGCAGAGTCTCAGGTAAGAGCTATTAAACTGGTGAGGTCTCTCCTCTGTAGATGTTCTCCAAGACCTCCACAAGTTATCTCCCTCCACCTGGTGTGCCAGATGGTCCTCAGTCTGGAAATGCCTCACTCTTCTTCGCTCCAGGCAAAGCACAGCCCTTGTACAGTGGTAGCTGGGGCAGACAGATGACCGGAACACCAGCTCAGGACATTCTGCAAGCCTCAAACTCCCTGTCATGCTCCACTGAGGCAATAGGTTCCAAGTAGAATTTGAAGAAAAAGCATCGACAGGGAAAGAAGGTCAGAGGAGAAGCCTAGTCGGGGCTCAGAAACAACAGAGGGCTTCGGGGATCACAGGGCCACCAGCATGCCCAGGTAAATCACCAGGCACGTGCTCAAGATGAGGAAGCCTGGTGAGTTCCAACCGGAAGCTCGACTCAATTCTTTAACGATCCAGTCTCTGTGGTAACTCACATCAGTATAAACTCCAGGAAATCCTACTCGACCACAGCCAATGCCCCAGCTCACGATCCCTACCTGCACCCATGATCCATTGAATTCACACACCAATGGCCCCCCAGAATCTCCCTGGAGAAAGAGAAAAAATGACAGGAATTAAATTAATTTGTAGCACAACAGATTCCACCCCAACTCACTGGAGAGATTAATACAAACCAAACATGCACCTGCTAGTCCTAAATTTCTATGAGATTTTGGAATTAAACTTGTTTTTTAACAAAGGAGCAGTTCAAGATGGGCGGTGGTGGCGCACGCCTTTGATCCCAGCACTCGGGAGGCAGAGGCAGGCAGATCTCTGTGAGTTCAAGATCAACCAGGTCTACAAGAGCTAGTTCCAGGACAGCCTCCATAGCCACAGAGAAATCCTGTCTCAAAAAAAAAAAAAAAAAAAAGAGCAGTTCTATCTATTAAAAGAGGTTAACTGGGAGCTGGAGAGATGACTCAGAGGTTAAGAGCACTGGCTGCTCTTCCAGAGGTCCTGAGTTCAATTCCCAGCAACCACATGGTGGCTCACAACCATCTCTAGTTCGGATCTGATGCCCTCTTCTGGCATAAATGTGTACTTGCAGATAGAGCACTCATGCATAAAATAAATAAATCTTAAAAAAATAGATTAACTGAATATAAACCAACATAATGTTTCTTTTCTAAAAGAAAAGACATTCCATGCACCTATCCCAAGTGCATGGAATGTCACACAGAAGGGGTAAAAACCCCGAGTTTGTATTATTGCCTCCCTGATCCACCCCACCCCCAGCCACTGCAGACAGCATTAGCCATTTTCTCCTGGAGGATCCTGTCAGGCTAGCCCAGGAGCTGTGGTGGCTTGTTCTGACAGACCAATAGCTTCAATAACGGTAAATGGAGGATCAGGCACACAGTCCAGGCCCTAATGTCTGGGAATTAGGGACTTGTGAGGAGAGGATAGCAGGGCAGAGTAGCGAGGGACCCATGAACTGACCTGGCAGGTGTCTCCTCCCTCCTCATTGTAGCCACAGACTACCCCTTCCTGAACTACGGTCAATATTTTTCCTGAACTTTTCTTGAGAATTCGATTACATTCTTCATGATGAATAATGCTTAGGTCAACCTCTCGAAGTTTTCTTGATGAGCTACCTACATGGAGATAATTTTGGAGAGAGCAGATCTCCATTAAGTAGGAATGACTTGAGTCAGTTGTACCTCCTCTGGGTCTCAATATCTTGTTCACACACGAGTACCCTCAAAGAAATCAGCTGTCATTCCCATCTGGCACTGACAGAAATGAGGCCCAACTTTGCCAAGAGTGTAAGACGATGAAAAGTCCAAACCAAGGAAGTAGAAGAAACAAAACAGCCCAAGAGAGGGCAAAATCTTGTCAGCCTGAGAGGTGACAGCAAGCATGTGATACACCCTTGCTAATACTAGTGATGGTGTCCCATGTATCAGGAAAGCATCTTGTTATGACCTGATCACAAACTCTCAGAAAGGTAACGCCCCCAGATACCAATCTGCATTCTCCCCAGTCATAGGAGACCCTAGAGCAGTGGGTCTCAACCTTCCTGATGCTGCAACCCTTTAATACCCTTCCTTAAGTTGTGGTGACCCCCAACCATAAAATAATTTTCATTGCTACTTCATAACTATAATTTTGCTACTGTTATGAATTATAATGTAAACATCTGTGTTTTGCAATGGTCTTAGGCGACCCCTATGAAAGGGTCACTCAATCCCCAAAAGGGGTCGAAACCCATAGCTTGAGAATTGCTGTCTTATAGACTCACTGAGTTCCCTGGCCTCTCCTCACATACAAGAAGCTCTCTACCTAGAAAGATAGGTACTTCTAGCTTACACATAGGTCATCTCACTGTGAGCTAAAATCTGCCCTGGTGAGTATCCACCATGTTTGGTACCTAGGTCCTCAAGTCCAGACAAACCTATAGAAAGTCACCAATAGTTGCTCCCTTGGGAACACCTTCTCTCTTCCCCTCCCTTAACCACCTGCCAGAAACTCTGGCTCCCTGTGCCTCCCATTAGCTTGTAGACCAACCGCAGGCTACTAAGTAGTCTGTTCCCTGGTCCATGGTTGCTGGAGTCTTACTTTAGGCTCACCTCCTTCAAGAACTCTGCCCCATCCAGTCACCCAGCACTGGGTGCCAGCTTTCACCATGAAAGCCCTGCGAGGGAGGCACACTGGCTGGATGTAGCCACTGTAATTCACAGGGAAGGCCAGCAAGGCAAGAGCAATGTCATGCACCATTGTCCCCAAAAGAGAGAAGTCCCGGTGAACAACGATGTCTTGGACTGGAATCTTCACTGCCTGATCGGTCCACAGGTCAACTATTCCCATCGACACTACGTAATTCAAATGGCTGCAAAGAGATCCGGAAGGTTCTACACAATTCCCCTCCACACGATGGATCACGGCGCTCCCCAGCCCAGTCCCATCCTCCTGAGGCAGCCACCAAAACCTCCCTCTGCTCTAACTATGTTCCCTCCAGGACCCCTGATCACCCCCATCCAGCTACCGGTTGGTTCTCCAAGCATGGTCTCTGATCACTATCACTTGGGATTGTGTTAGGAATCCAAATGTGCAGGTGTCAGCTGAAACTGAGCTAAAACAACAACAGCAACAACAACAAAACCTAGGCTGGTCATTTCTGATCCACCCACCCCCTAGAGTTTTGAGATATGTTCTCTCTCACTCTGTAGACCAAGCTGGCCTCTAACCCCTGGCAATCCTCCTGCCTTAGTCTCCTAAGTGTTGGGATTACAGGCTCGTACTACCACAGGCTCCTGCTCCTTTATTTTATTTTACTTTATTTTCAAATAGAAGGCAAGAGGGACAGGACATAGAAGCTGGTCAGGGGCCCAAGCCCAGATCTCCGGGTACTCACCCAAATACACAGTGGGCTGCAGTCATCACCCACCATTTGCTGATGAGGGAGCCACCGCAGACGTGAGTGTTCCGGACTTGCAGGCTCACCTGCCAGGGCCACTTCCTCTCTGCCGCAAGCTGTCCACCAACTACCCTTGCAGTTCTGTGGCCACAACCTGGAGCAGGTTAGTGAAGGGAGGGACTCAGGGTAAGGCTGTTGCTACTCTACCACCATCCAGATCCTTAGAACCTGCAGAACAGGGCTCTGTTCCTCAAATTCCAGGTCTGGGTGGATGCCTAAGACTCATCAGAGAGCGGTGGTGTCCTCTCAGACCCCGGCCCCACTCAGAACCCACACCCCACACCCAAGGACCAAGATCCTCCTACACATCAGGGTCCCATCCCCCTAGGTCCAGGCCAGTTCTCCGCGTCAGACCATGACTCAGAAACTTCACCTGTAGTGGTTGGAATCCATGTCGGAAACCGTTCCTGTGACAGAGTCATGGGTGAAACAGAGTGACTGGGTGTAAAAGCCACCGAATCAAGGGGCACCATGCTCCCCTCAGGCTGCGGGCCCCGAGAGATCTCGGGCATCCCTGTGAGAGGCTTCTCCTGTGGGCTTGCACTCGGGTCATCGAGGCCATCCTCCAAGCGGAGAGGAGGAAGAGACAGCGTCCCTGGGATCATTCGGGCCTCGCCCAATAGCATCTGAAGCAGCAAGAACCAGGCCAAGGGACCACGAAAGGCCATACCACCACGAAGGCCTTGGCCTCCGTCTCTGAGCCTCCTCATGGCGGTTACCGAGGCCGCGCACAGTTCTGGGGGAAACCGGTTCCATCTCGAGGCTGCTTTCAGTCCTGACTCTCCTTGACCCCCGGGGCAGGGCGTGACCCAGATAGTCAGAGAGGCCAGCGGAGTTCCCTGGCCGCAGAGAGCAGACAGCAGCTCTTAGGAGCCCCTTCTTCTGGCACAGGCGTCCACCGTAGAGGGTGCACAACCTCAAATGCTAACAGAGGTGCAGGGATAAGGGGTTGCCCACACGCTACAGTGGGGATGTAAGCACAGCCACTCTGGAAAGCTCACTGGTTGTTTAATATACAATAAAAAATCTAATTACCAGCTGGGCAGTGGCGGCGCACAACATTAGTCCCAGCGCTCGGGAGGCAGAGGCATAGGCAGGAGGATCTCTGTGAGTTCAAGGCCAGCCTGGTCTACAGAGTGAGTTCTGACCTTTGGAATTGCAAAATACAGTTGAATTGTTTCTAGCCACGAAATTGGTGGTAAATTGTTAGAGTTATAAAAAGAAGAATCAATACAAATCTAGATATCCCTCAGGAGGTGAATGGTTACATTCATACTGTTAAAAAAAAAGACCAAACCCACGCCTGCCCAATTAAAGCAAGCTGTGTTTGGGGGTGTGTGCCTGGAATACCAGCTGTCTCACCCGAAGCTGGGATTTGGGAGGGCAGCTCCTGTTGGCCTCTCGAGGTCCCTTTTGTAGGAGAGATAAGGTGTTCGCAGGGGCAAGAGAGTTGGCTGTTACATAGTTAGGAAGATGCAATGAAAGGGAAGGAGCAAGGGTAACGATATATCTATACATAGATAGATATATAAATAGATATATATATCATGTGAATTGGATCAGAAAATTTTGTGTAGGTTGAAAAGATGTTTTATAGTCTACATCAGATTAAGAAAGGGAACTCATTCATTTCTCTCTCTCTCTCTCTCTCTCTCTCTCTCTCTCTCTCTCTGTGTGTGTGTGTGTGTGTGTGTGTCTTTTGAGTTTTTTTTTTGTTTGTTTGTTTCTCTGTGTAGCCCTGGCTGTCCTAGAACTTGATCTGTAGACCAGGCTGGCCTCAAGCTCACAGAGATCAGCCTGCCTCTGCCTCCGAAGTACTGGGATTAAAGGCATTAAGCCACAGGGCTCAAGAACTTATTCTTATAAATAGAAATCTTCACTTGCAAGGACTTAACAGAGTACAAACGGGAACTTATTGTTAACTATAAACAGAAACCTTAACCTGCAAAATACATTGTTCCCATTTTGGTCTCCCATTAATTTGCAAAGTATATTGTTTCTATTTTGGTCTCACAATACCACAAAGTATTACTGAGCAATTGGAATGAACCAGACTACTGGGTGAGAAGGAGGAAGAGTTGAGAGGGAGGCAGGAAATAATGGAAGCTTCATATAATCACAATACAGTGTATCAATGTATGAAATTATCAAAAACAAAATATGCATTTAAAGTTTTTTTCTCTGCTAATTTCATGTTGCTCTCATTTCCTAATGTTTTATTGACTATTCACTCAGTTTTGCTGCTTTTTCATGTTTTCCAAAAATATCGAATGACTACTGAACGTCACACTGCTGACTGATTGTGCTGTTGTCCTTCAAAAATGTTGAAATCTAGCAGACATGTAACCTCTCTGATCTACTTGAGATTATTTTTAGTTTGTTCGACCTGTGTCTGGGTGCTAGCAGTTAAGTTTTGTAGATTCTCTGTTGACTGCCAGGTGACTAAGCAGGGCATCCCTCCCTGGTTGGATGTCACTCACGACTATGTGACCCCTAAGAATTGTTTAATTTCTAGTAGTCTGGCATCCATTTTACCTAGCATCCTGGAAATGCCTGTGAAGGTTGGCATTCACCCAAAGATTAAGGGGAATCACTATACAATTTTTTAACTGTTTCTCTCCCTACTTATAACCCTTGAATCAACAACCTTTCAGAACAGAGAGCTTTTACTGAATGTTTAGACTTTGCAGGCCACACATAGTCCCAGCTGCATTCTTTTCTAAAAGATGACCTTCTAGGGGCTGAAGAGATGGCTAAACTCTGCTGTGCAAGTACAAGGACCCAGGCTCAATCTCCCAAACCCATGTGAAAAACCAGATGCTTCGGTGCATGCCTACAATCCCAAAGCTCCAGAGGCAGAGACAGGAAAGCCTCTCAGGCTTGCTGGCCAGCCAGTCTAGCCAAATTAGTGAGCTCCAAGCTCAGGGAGAGACCCTGTCTCCAAACACAAAATGGACAATGGTTAAAGAAAACTCCCAACATTAACTTCTGGCCAGTGCATGCATGCCCAAGTGCACATGCATGCACAGACACAAACACGCATACTAAATAATAAAATATGGCCCTTTAAAACTGTATAAATTAAGTCAGATGGTGGGGCACACATTTAATGCCAGCACTCAGGAGACAGAGGCAGGTGCATCTCTGAGTTCTAGGCCAGTCTAGTCTACATAGCAAATTCCAGACAGCCAGAACACAGAGAAACCCTGTCTTGGAAAAGAAACACACACACACACACACACAGACACACAAATTATAAATGTAACTGGGTATGTGGCACATGCCTATAATACCAGCACTTGGGAGATGGAGGCAGAGAGATTAAAAGTTCAAGGCCATCCTTGGATATATAGCAAGTTGAAGACCATGTGAGACCCTTTCCCAAAACCAAACTAAACAACATGTAAATATAATTCCTACTATAAGCCTTTTCAGATCTGGCAATTTACTTTTCTTTTTTTGTTTTTGTTTGTTGTTGTTATTGTTTTTCGAGACAGGGTTTCTCTGTGTAGCTTTGGAGCCTATCCTGGCCCTCACTCTGGAGACCAGGCTGGCCTCGAACTCACAGAGATCTGCCTGCCTCTGCCTCCCAAGTGCTGGGATTAAAGGTGTGCGCCACCAACACCTGTCGAGAATTTTCTATTTAGATCTATATCCCACTTTTTAATTGGATATTTTGGTGTTTCTAAGTTAAACAAGTTTTAAAAAATAAAATAAAAACAAAAACAAAATCACTTTTTATTTTTTATTTATTATTTATTATTTATTGATGACTGAGGATTTAACGAAATATAGTGATTATGATAGAGGTTATTTTCATGGAAAAATTAGCATAGGTAAAGGTAGGATAAAATGTTGCCCCTGCCCCTGATAAAGCAGAGGCTGCAGAGGATAAAAAATAAAACAAGGAAGTGTCACACAGCTAGAACACATAAATTTCTATGGAGGAGCCATATAGACTGTGGTTTAGGTTAGTGATTAAGAAAAACAACTGAGTCCCAGTAGCCCAACTGGTTTAAATTATTTTAATCTTAATGTCAGGAGGTGTGTTCACAGGTTTCGGAGTGCATCACAGCTGAAACACAAAGCTTTGAAAATAACTTAAGATTAAACTACATGTTTTTGTCAAATAGCTTTGAGGTGAAAAACCCAAGAAGACAATCTAAAGTTTTAGAAATCACATAGCAGAGTGAGGGACTCGTTAGGTCAGGGATCAAAAGCAAAGCAGCCCTATTACTATTAGCTGACGTATGTTTCTTCCTAGGATGTGTTGGTGACCAAAGGAGTGACTAATTCTTTGTGCCATTTCTAACCTTAGCCTACTGATATTTTTTAAAAAACCTATTGATGAGTGGGTATGCACCCCGAGGATTTAGACTGATTCTTTTTCATAGATATAGATTTATGATTCTTCTAAGGTTTCTTATAAGAGTACCTTTTTTTTTTTTTTCATTTTTGGTTTTTTGAGACAGGGTTTCTCTGTGGCATTGGAGGGTGTCCTGGAACTAGCTCTTGTAGACCAGGCTGTTCTCAAACTCAGAGATCCACCTGCCTCTGCCTCCCGAGTGCTGGGATTAAAGGCGTGCGCCACCAACGCCAGGCTAAGATTACCTTACCTTTTGAGACAAATAATAAACTGGTTGGTCCTTCCTTTGTAACCGAAAAATGCAGCCTGCCAGCAAAAGATCTGGCTGAGAAAAATACCTTGCTTGCTCACACTCTATTAATCTACAGCAGTTGTTTGGACATGAATGTATATGGGTTCTTGGGAATGTATGTGGCAACTTGTTTTTCACCTGTAATACATAAAATGTTTATTTAGGGGAGGGATAAGGAAAACATGCTGTTTTTCACTTGTAATAATTGTAACCATTCACTTGAAAAATAGAATGTAACCACATGGTTTTGCCCAGGGTATATGAACTGTAAGGGAAAACACCAGGGATGAGAGAATGAAACCACCAGGAAAAAATGTAGAGGCAAAATAAAAATACAGAAGAAGACTAAAGAGAAGGTCAGAAGGTCAGAAACCATTGAGAGAGTGTGTGTCTTTTCCCTTACTCCCTCAGGGAAAAAAAGTCTGAGCTTGACAACTCCATGGATCCCTGTCCAGCCCTGCACTGCTGGAAGCTGGTCCTCACTGCAGCAGTATGGGTCCCAGGCATGAAACTGGGGTCCTCAGGCTTTGTAGCAGGTACCTTTACCTACAGAGCCATCTTACCAGACAGTTTTCATACTCTTTATACCTATGTACAAAGAACCCAAGAACCACAGATTTTTTTTTTCTGGCATTCTTTTAGAAGTTTTATCGATTAATGGTTTACATTGAGTTCTATAATTTATTTTGAATTAACAAAAATGAAACATCTATACATTGCAAGGTGAAGAGCAGAGACCATTTTCTTTTCCTTTTTCTTTTTGGTTTTTTGAGACAGGAGTTCACTGTGTAGCCCTGGCTGTCCTAGAACTCACTCTGTAGACCAGGCTGGCCTTAAACTCACAGAGATCCACCTGCCTCTGCCTCCCAAGTCCTGGTATTAAAGGCGTGCACCACCACCACCATGCACAAAGGCCATTTTTCTAACACCCTTTATTTTTTGTGGTGCTAGGTATTGAACCAAAGGCCTCATGCACACTAGACAAGAGCTGCACTATACTGAGGTACACTCCTGGGCCCTCAGCACCATTTACTAAATACAAGGCTATCATTTCCCCAATTGAGTTAGTTACATTAAAATCATCTAGCCATATAGGTGTGGACCTATTTCTAGATTTCTTGTTCTGTTCCACTGATCTACATTTCTGCCCTGATGCCAGTACAACCATGTGTTGATCAGTGTATCATTTTAAAGTCTTGAAACCTGTACTGTTTGCATTTGTCATTCGGCATCTTTTGATTTTTCACATACATTTTTTAAAAGATTTATTTTATTTTTATTTGTAAGTGTGTATGCAGACACGTGTGCAGGTGCCCTTAGTGGCCAGGTACTCTGGAACTAGAGTTGCAGATGTTTCTGAGCAGCAGAACATGGGTGCTGGGAACCAAACCCAGGTCAGCAAACACTCTTAACCACTGAGCCATCTCTCCAGGCCCGCCATATCCATCTCGTTTGTGTGTGTATAGGTCCATGTGTGTGGCGGGGTGTGCAGGTATATGTGCACAAGTGTGAACACGCACATGAAAGACAGAGGTAACCCTTGGGGACTGTTCCTTGAAAGCCTCTCAGCAGGTCTGGAGTTTGCATGTCCCAGAGGTCTGCTGGTCTCTGCTTCTCCAGCACTGGGATTACAAGTGCATAGCACCATGCCTGCCTGGGGATTGAACTCAGGTCCTCATGCTTGCTCTTGCAGCGAGTACTTTATAAGCCTAGTTATCACCAGGGTCCTCCATACACATTTTAGAATCAACATATTAGTTCCAGGAAGACTGGAGCTTGAAAAAAATGTGAATAAATCTGTAGATACAACACTACCAAATTTCAAGACCAGAAGCCACAGTAACTAGGGCAGAGTGGCATTTTACTTAAGAATATCTAGGTGGACACAGAGCTGAGTAGAGTCAAGAAACAGGTACTAAAATACATGGCCAGTCGGTGATATAACTTGGTGTTGAAACAAATGCATCCCAACAAATCCTATTGCAACAATTTAACAAACATTAAAGGTGTAGAAATACATACTTTTCTATCTTATGCCATGAACAAAAATTAATTTGTTGATCATAGACATAAGTATCCATGCTAAAACTGGAAACCTTTTTTCCTAAGGGAAAAAAAGAAATTCTTCACAAACTTTAGTTAAAAGCAAATAAAATCAGGTTTAATATTCTTATCAGAATATATGAAACACAGTTTAAAGAATCATCAACAAAATGTATCTGAATTAAAACTGACAAAAGACCTGAGAAGACACTTCTCAAAACAGAGTATACAAGTGCTCAACAGTGAGGGAGTGGAAAATATTTCAGATGACTTGAGAAGAAAAAGAAATACCTCACCCTAGAACCTAGTTTGTGTTTCCTGTTAGCTGAGATTAAAATGTTCTCAACACAACTGCAATCAAGCGTGCAGAGACAGTATTTGTTTTTCTTAGAGATACAAATGAGCCATGCTTGCTCAGGGCCAAAGCATAGGACATTTGAGTTCAGTGTTATCAACTGCCCTCTTGCCATGAGGCCTGAACAGGGCAGCACACTTCGTAAACCCCCTTAGTTTTATTTATAAAAGGAAATTCTTTAAGAGAAATAAGGAAATCTGCTCATATATTTTCTTAATTATTTTCAAATTTCACTTTATCTTTGAACATGGTTGCAAGTTACATTCAATGAGAAATGTAACTTCACAAAATCATAGATCTATAGAGAGAACAGTTAGTTAGGACGCTTAAGGTCTCTCTCTCTCTCTCTCTCTCTCTCTCTCTCTGTCTTTCTCTCTCTCTCGGTGATCACCAAGCTAACTCTTGTATGACAGAGTCTGAGGAGAGAGCCCTGAAACCACAGTCAGGTCTAGCTCCACCACTGATGAAGCCCTTTCTTAGGTCATTGTCATTTACCCAGCAGGCCGGCCAGTTTGCCTTCTGACTGGAATTGGTTCACCTTCATTCCTGCCAGGCAGAGCGCAACTCAGGAGCAGTGAGGCCAAGGGAGGTGACTGGAGCACCAGGCCAGAACACTGTGAAGTCTCAGGTCCCTGACGCACTGTGGCTCTCTCTCCAGAGCAAGGGATTCCCAATGGAATTTGAAGAAAGGGCATTGGGAAAGGAAAGGGAAGGAGAGGGAGAGGCTCGGAAAGAGGGTGGGATGAGACGCAGCAGGCGTCAGGTCCACATGCTGTCACAGCAAACACAGCGGTAAGATGAGGAAGACCAGTGGAGAGGAACGAGGGGCCTGGTTCACCACTGCCACCACCCACTTGCTGTAGAAGGCAACATCTGTATAAACTCCAGGATATCCTTGGCGGCCACAGCCGATGCCCCAGCTCACAACTCCCACCTGCACCCACTTATCATTAAGTTCACAGGACAAAGGGCCACCAGAATCTCCCTGAAGAAAGAGAAAGAAACATGGCAAGAATGGAATTGATCCCCATCGGATTAGGCTGATGGCCCTGGGAGACATGAGGGAGACAGGCTCATACGGCTTCCTCAGGCATCCCAAAAGCCTAGCCAGAGTCGGGTGCAGTGGCATATGCCTCTTGGGTCAGCCCTAAGGAGGGTGAGGCAGGAGGGTTTCAGAGAGTCCAGCTACATACCAAGACACTGTCTCAGAGAAGGAGAAAATGGAGAAGCAGTGGGGGGCGGCATCCTTGCCAGGCCCAAGCTTCTCTTAACACACAAATGCCAGAATTAGGTATATAAATATGGCCACTGAGAAGTTAATGGGAACATGACCATATCCTCTGATGTTATTATTGTCTTTCTTGAGTCTCGGTGGTGTTTACTGCTGAATTCTACTTCTGAGGGACTAGAGAGATGACCCCATAGTTAAGAACACTTGCTGCTTTTGCAGAGGACCCCAGATTAGTCGAGAACACTCAGTGACTGCAGGTCCAGGGGACCTTACACCCTCTACTGGCCTCTGCAGGCATTGCATGCATGTGGTGCATACACATAAAATAGAAACACATTTTTTTTAAATCTAATTAAATATATCTTCTGTGCAGTAGCTCCTAATTCCTTACATTTAACCTGACTTTCCTCTGAAGCTCCTAACCTATACCGCAAAACCCTTCTCATTATAGAGTCCATTTGTAATACTCTTCTCCAAACCTGCTGTTACAGAGACCTGTCAGCCAATCGGTGAGAAACACATGAGCTTCTGCAGTGTCTCTTACCACCCCTAACCTAACATGAACTGACAATTTGACCCCAGACACTTTCCTCACCGATGGGTTGCCCCAGACCCTGCTCAGAACTCAATGGCATTTCCTACATTCTAAAGACAGCAGTCCTGGCACACACATCCAAGGGAACTATTGAAGCTTTAAGGGAAATACGGCCATGTTCACCTGGCGCCACGTCCCATGCCTGCCTGGGCCACTCTAGAAACTTGGCCACATTTGATACCCTATCCTAGTGCTCCAGGTATTTAAGACTTGGCACCCTACCTCCAGTTCTGGGGAACAAACCTAGGGTGTCTTGTCCACTGAGCATGTTCTTCATCTTGATACTCAGAAATGGAGACAAGGCCTCACTATGTAACCAAGACTCATCTCAAACTCACTATGTATCCCAGTCTGGCCTTGAACTTTTGATCTTCCTACCTCTACCTCATGAGTGCTGAGATTATAGGTATATTCCACACACTTGGCCACCATAAGAAGTATACTCAGACCTCTGAACCCCTAAACATATTATCCCCTGTCTCTAAAAAAAGATTTCACAAGAGGACTTTGAGTCCATGTCTTCGGATTTCCCCTTTCACAGTGTTATGGTAGATAATGGTATAATACTGCAAGGTTGTAACATAGGTTTTCTCAGTTAATACAGGTTGATGCTCCCTTTGTCATGGTAACTGCCACAGAAGGTGTGGTGGTTTGAATGTAATTAGTCCCCATAATCTCACAGAGCATGACACTATTAGGAGGTGTGACTTTGTTGGGGTGGGTGTGGCCTTGTTGGAGGAAATATGTCACTATGGAGGCGGGCTTTGAGGGTTCCTATGCTCAGGATATTTCCCAGTGTCTCAGTCAACTTCCTGTTACCTGCAAGCCAAGATGTAGAGGGCAGCCAGGCGTTGGTGGCGCACGCCTTTAATCCCAGGACTAGGGAGGCAGAGGCAGGCGGATCTCTGAGAGTTCAAGACCAGCCTGGTCTACAAGAGCTAGTTCCAGGGCAGCCTCCAAAGCCACAGAGAAACCCTATCTTGAAAAACAAACAAACAAACAAACAAACAACAACAACAACAAAAAAAACCAAAGATGTAGAGGGCACCACGTCTGCTTGCTCCCTTCCATGACGATAATGGACTGAACCTCTGCAATTATAAGTGAGCCACCCCAATTAAATGTTCTCTTTATAGGAGTTGGCATGGTCGTGGTGTCTCTTCACAGCAATAAAACCCTAACTAAGACATAGGGGAACATTATTAGACTACCCATTCCCAACCTCTAAACAAGAACCCTATGCAGTAGCCGGGTGGTGGTTCACGCCTTTAATGCCAGCACTTCGGAGGCAAAGACAGGTGGAGCCCTGTGAGTTCTACTCAGAGAGTTCCAGGACAGGCTCCAAAGCTACAGAGAAACCCTGTCTCGGAAAAAAAAAAAAAAAAAGAAAAGAAAAGAAAAGAAAAAAAAAGAAAAAGAAAAAGAAAAAAAAGAATCCTACGCAGCAACCTACACAGCAAGACTACATCCTTTAGAAAGGACAAGACCTGTAATCTCAATGCTTGGGAGGTTGATGCAAACAGATCTCAAATTTAAGGCCATCCTTTGCTACACAGAAAGTTCAGGCAAGGTCAGCTCCAGGAGTCATGGGGAGGTGGCGAATAACTCAGGCCTTGTCATGAGACTGAGGAAAGGGCCCATGAACTTACCTGGCAGGCATCCTTTCCTTGTTCTTTATAGCCACAGATCATCCCCCTCTTGACTAGGTCATGAGAAGATGATGTAGCCTTCTTCAACATAGTGTTGCATTGCTCATAATGGATGATATGCTGGTCCACCTCCCGGAGAGTGTCTGTGGGAACGCTTGGCGCTAGTGAAGAAGATCAGAAGGGCATAAATCTTCACAATGGATAGCAAGCACTCAAGCACCCGGGAATGCCCCTAGACAAAGGCAGGGAAATGAATATTTGACACAGGAGGAGACTGAGACTCAAAACTGCCACAGGGAGAGGATTGAGTAAGAGGCAACACTGAGCTGGGCCTAATGGCACAAGTCAATAAGACCAAGGGAGGTCAAGGCAGGGGACCCTCAAGTTTGAGGCCTGAGCTACAGAATGTGTTCAAGGTCACCCTGGGCAACTTAGCTATACTGTCTCAAAACAAAAAGCAGAAAAGGCCGTGAAAACAGCTTAGTGCTAGACCCTCCCTGGCATGTTTAAGGGCCTGCATCCAATTCCCAGCAATAAAAAAAAAAAAAAAGCAAAATTAAGACAGGGGAAGGATGATGTCTGAAATGTCTGAAAGGGAAGCAAGGCCTTAGAGGCCTAAGGCATGAGAACCCATTGAGCACATTACTGAATGTCAGTAGTAATAGTAACAAGGTAGCCTATATATTTTTCTCTTTATCTTTTGTTTGCTTGTTTGTGGGTACAACTGGCATCTTTATGTAAAATCAGACTAGTCTCAAACTGTCCGTACTTAAGCACGTAACACCGAACCCAACCAATTTTCTTCATGCTCTAGAACATAATCACAGGCTCTCAGAGAGATAGAGCCCTAAGGGTCACATGTGACTTGTTCTTCTTAGGCATAAGAGGCATACCAGCAGAGGCCTCTGGCTCTCCCGACTCCTCTAAGCACGAGAAACTCCCTAACTACAAAGATAGGGATTTCTGTTGAGAAGCTGACAGGCAGCTCATTATCTCCTGAGAGAAAATCCACCCAAGGTGGATTAACTGCTGAGCTATCTCTGAGAAATCCCTGAGAGACAGCTCAGCAGTTAAAAGCACCTGTTATCATCGCCCCACTGCACCCTCGAGGCAAGGTTTCTCTGTGTGGTCCTGGCTGTCCTGGAACTCACTCTGTAGACAAGGCTGGCCTCAAACTCACAGAAGTGTGCCTCTGCCTCCCAAATGCTGGGATTAAAGGCTTGTGCCACCACTCCCTGGCTAAGATCACTTGCTCTTGTAGAGGACCAGGGTTCAGTTCCCTCAGCACCTACACAGAGGCTCTCAACAACCCCAATTCCACTTCCAGATGATCTGACACCCTCTTCTGATCTCTGTGGGATCCAGGCAGGCATTTGCTGCCCACAGACATAAACACAGGCAAAACACTCAAGCACATAAAATAAAAATCTGAAAATCTCCCGGGGAGAATTCCAGCACATCTAGCCTTTGTCCACAGGGAATGCAGCAAACCCCTTAGTCACTCAGCACATGTTCCCATAAAACTGCAATAGGAGATTTGACACAATTCTAGTTCCCAGGAGAGGTACGTTTGGCTATCATCAGATATTTGTGTTGCAATGAATGACCGAAACACAAGACATGGATCACCTGAGCTCACCAAACTGCCCATCACCCTGTTTGCCCCTCCCATTATCCTTTGTTTCTACTTTAGAATAAGGCCTTGCTTCCTCCTGAGCACCAACTCTTACCACCTGGGTCTGTTTTGCCCCATCCGGTCACCCAGCACTTGGTCCCAGTTGCCACAATAAAGGCCTCTGGAGGGATGCAGATGGGGTAAATATTAGTGGTGAAATTCACGGGGTGCTGGAGCTTGAGAAGGGCGATATCATTTTTAACAATGATCGCGGATGAGAACTCGGGGTAGATGATGACTCTCTGGATGGGAATCACCAGGCTTGTGTTTTCACGGTGGATGCTCCGATCGCCCATCTTGACATTGTACTCTATCCAGCTGTGGGAAAGAAGACATGCCGCCTCAGTAGCCTGACCCTACAAAGCTCTCTTACACACTTCCACACGCTCTCTGTTTCTCAACATGACCCCAACCTCTGTTGCCACTCTGGACATTCTGTCTCTGTCACCAAACCCCCTCATTGATCTTCAGTTGTTTCTCCTGCGCCCCAGCTTGGGTGAGTCCAGTAACAAATCACACCCCTCCCCTTTTTGTGCATCTTGTTTTGAGGATGTTGCCAGTTTATCCCAGAGAGGAAGACTAGGACAGCGGGTCCCCTCCAGACACGCACCTCTCTGCTTGTCTCTCCTCACCTGAAAATGCAGTGGGCTGCCGTCAGCACCCACTGGGCACTGATGAGGGTACCTCCGCAGATATGCATGTGTCTGACCCTGACGCTCACCTGCCAGGGCCATTTTCCCTCTTGAGCCTCTACTCCTCCTATGATTTTCATTAAGGGTCTGCCACAGCCTGGGTGAGGACAATTTGGGAAGAACTCAGAAGAATTAAGCGCTCTGTTCATGCTAGCAGTTCCACGGAAGGCACCAAGAGGGCTCAACGACAGCAAGAGGGAGGCTATGGATGTCTTGTTAAACACCAGGGCCATTGCATGCCCTCAAAGCTGCCGTGTCACACATGGCAGTCACATTCTGCTCAGAAGCCACAGGCAAGGCAACCAGACTCTACCCAACAGCGGCCTGGGCTGAACCCGTGTCCCTCGGATTCGGGGTGTCACTAGCTCCCACTCTGGGCCTTGCCACAGTCTTCCCCTTACCACAGACACCCCTTCACAAGTTACCTAAGGTAAACGGCTTGAAAGGAGAAGTTTGGCCCTGACTGGTCATCTGGGTCCCCTGCGCCTGCGTGGATAGCAGTGGGTTTACCCTTGTGGTCTCACTGTGCGATGAGGCAAAATCAGAAGTAGAGAATACAGCAGCAGCCACCCAGACTTGGCAGAGCTCTGACTGAAGCAGCAGGAGGCGGGCTATGAGGCCCAGGGAGCCACCTCTGGATGCCATGCCACCACGTAGGCCACCGCCCCGCTCCCAGTAAGTAGCACCGGCTCCCCAGCCCGAGCTGCCCTCGGTTCTGTCGGTTCTGTCAGAGAAACGGAGAAACCGGCTTCTCGAAGGGAGGTGCCAGGGTGTCAGAGGTGTCAAGGAGGGTCATGGTTTTCTGGGTGGGAAATGTGTTCTTGCTTACACTCAAATCTTCACGCCACACTGTGCACACCCAGAGTCCTGTCTGGGACAGAGGAGTTGGTAAGGATGGGGACTCTGGGATTAAGAGGGGGAGCCAAAAAGGCACCTCAAACCGAGATTCATTCATCAAACCTAGACTTGTAGGTTATTCTTCTATCTCAGCCACCGGACAAGCCGAAACTAAATTAGCAATGTCCGGCCCTGGAGAGATGGCTTAGGGCTTAAGGGCCCTCGGTGCTCTTGCAGAGGACTGGAATTAAGTATCAGCATCCACATAAAGATGTACACCATTCCTAACTCCAGTTCCAGAGGATCCATCCAGTGCCCTCTTCTGGCCGCTGTGGGCACCAGGCATGCACATACATGCAGGCAAAAACACTCAGACAAATAGAATAAACATATATATATATATATTTAGCCACCACCAAAGATACCTGCCAGTCAACCCTTTCTGACTACTCTATGCCCCTGATATGTTCTGTGGTAGCTCATGATTTTCTCTTTGTAACCCAGATGCTCTCTAGTGTCTCCTTCTATGAGCAAGCATCATCATCCCTGTTCAAGTGGAAAGACAGAGGGACTGTCTGTGCATCTCACGTTTCCCCAATGGAAGGAGAAGAGCCATCAGATTCTTCAAGGATCATCAATTTATTTTTTTAATGTCTTGGGAAAGGAGCACATTCTTTAAGATACTCTTTAGTCATAAGAAGAGTGGGCAAGTAGGTCATACATCATGAATACGTCCCAATAATTGCACCCCCACCCACCAGAAAAGCCTCTGCATTCAAGTTTCCCCCCTTAGAGACAAGGGTCTGACGTATGCAGAGAAGCCTCTTTGCTGTGGAATAATCCATCTGCACACTGTGGAGACACGTTGCTCTCGTTATCAATAAAAAGTTGATTGGCCGATAACTAGGCAGGATTTTCGGGGCAGAGAGAATGCTGGGAAGTAGGAGGGTGGAGTCAAAGTTGGAGAAAACATGAGACAAAGATCCAGCAGGATGGGAAGTATGTATATGAGGTAAACAAGCCTGGGGCAGCACATAGATGAATAGAAATGGGTTAAATTAAGTTATAAGAGCTAGCTAAAACCAAGCCTAAGCTATTGGTCGAGCATTTATAATTAATATTAAGTTTCTGTGTGGTTATTTGGGGAGCCACTGGTGGGACACAGCTATTCAGTGGTCTAGATGGAAAACTCCACCTCTTGGCTCTCTGATCCAGCAAAAAATGACACAGACCTTCATATCCTCCACCTCCCAAGTATGGGGACTACAGGCAGGTACCACCACACCAAGGTTATGCAGGGAGATAAAAACAAAACAAAACAAGCAGGACTTCATGCTCGATAGGCAAGCACTCTTACCAACAGATCTACAGTTCCAACCCAGCAAGGAGCTTCTGACATTTTCTGTTTGGTGCCCCAGTGTGGGTGGGCTACTATTCAGCTTAGGTTTTAAACAACTAGAAAAGTGTGAACCAACAAACTCCTAATTTGGGCTCCAGCATAGCTCACCAATAGTGCTTAAAACCCTCGTAAATTCTCTTTGTAAGGAAGCTTGTCCCTACAGCCTTATGCTTTGCACCTGCCCTGCAGCATGCTCGGATCTGACGCTCGCTAGTGGTTAGGTCCAGAGACAGTAAGACTGAACGGTACAGGTGCAGAAGTGTCATTCTTTGTAATAATACACCTCCGGGTAAAGCTAAAGAAGGCAAGAGATGGCAAACGAGTCAGTGGGGCCGACTGCTTCCATTAGTATGAGAGGACCGATGTGGTTAAGAGGTCAGATGTGTCCCATTTAAATTAACCAGTACCTTATCTTCATGTAAGAATTCTCACGGAGCTGTTCATCTATATTGAAACTGAAGCAGCCAAGATTAAACACTGCAGCTTATTTCAAGTACATCAATGGCACAATTGTAAGAATCGTGAAAATACCTCAGAACCCATTGATCATAAGGTTAAAAAAATCATAGAACCTTTCAATCCAAGAGGTTAAGGCTAAAGATTCCCTGTCAAATAGCTTAGAGTGTGGAGGTACTTGCTGAGTAAGTCCTACCACCTGTAATCCCAGAATACACACCCACTCCAAAGAGTTTTCCTATGAACTCCACACATAGCCCTGTAACACACACACACACACACACACACACACACACACACACACACACACACACACACACACACACACACACACACTCACACACACACACACACACACACACACACACGTGTATACTGAGATTTGAACCTAGTACCTCATGTGCTAGGCAAGTGTTCTCCACTGCTGAGCTACATACCCTGTATCTCTGGCTCAGGGAATTATCTTAATATATAAAAGACAGATTGTGGCCTACTGCAAGACTTTAGAACTTCTAGGAGCTACAGATCCAAAATAAATTTGCACCTTTTCCTAGGCCTTTCTTCATAAACTTTCATCAAGTGTTTATGAGAAAGATTAGAGGCAGGGCAAAGAACCAAAGAAAGCCTTGCTTATAATGTGGTTTAAGGGAAGGCAAGCGAAAGTCAAAACACTGCAAAAGGAATGAAGTCAGTCTTAGAGCCTTATAGCTCTTTTCTCACCACCATCCCCAAGAAAACCTTGTACTAAGAGGAAGGAGGGTCAAAAGACTGACTTTGGGGACGTGGGTCAAAGCATATGGTGGTTGGATGAAGACAACATGAGATAACCTGTGCTAGGGAAGACCCTATCCTTATCTGCCCCAAACATGTACCTGCCTAAATGGGGGGTGGCTCTTAGATGTAAAGCATGAGCGCGTGCATGCGCGCGAGCGAGCGCGCGCGCACACACACACACACACACACACACACACACACACTCGCAAGTGTGCAGGAACAAGTGTAATAGCAATCTACTGCTGGCAGAGAGGTTTACAAAAATGATTGTAGAGAAACAACCTCTCTGAGGCATAGGCACAAAGAGAAACCCAGTAACTGAAAAGGAGGCAGACACCAAGGAAAACTCAATAACTCTCCACCTACCAATATAATATTAATAAACAGAAGAATTAGAGACCTGTATGAAAGAGTAACCATGGCTACCACAGTCTCATCTGATTTTCTCATTGCTTTCCACTACAGAAAATGCATACTCAAGCTGGGAGTGTGATTCAGCGGTGAAGC